ACTATATATACTATATATATATATATATATATATATATATATATATATATATATATATATATATGTGTGTGTGTGTGTGTGTGTGTGTGTGGGTGTGTGTGTGTGTGTTTGTGTGTGCGCGCGTGCGCGTGCGCGTGTGTGTGTGAGCGCGCGCGCATGTGGGTGTGTATATGTAATCGCCCACATCCGAACATACGCACGAAATTCTACGTTTTACACGAAAACCTAGCAACACGCAACTGTAAAACCTCTTTGCAATATAATGGACGTTTGCTTTGCATATCGGCAAGCGGAATCACACGATTAACGATATGACCTACCAAGTCTATTTCACGACAATATATTGCATATCATGAGCCGTCTGTTTTTACTTCTACAGAGAGACCAAAGGCTTCATATGAAATCTGCTGAGTACATGCAAATATCTGCCTTCTGTGCTAATGTCGAGTTGCGATACCATGCACAAAAATGCTGTGCGTACTCCCGTGAAAAACTAGTATATGTCCAAAATCCCTAAAACCAAAAAGTTCCACATTAGACGGTCGCGGTAACACATTAACCGGGTCGGGGGCAGCACCTCATAATCAAACACATTAATGTACATGAAAACAGTGAACCTTATGTATATTCACGATGTTCATAGACGAATGAACATTTAATTATCAATATGAGTAGGGTAAATCAAATAAATCGTGATAAACGTTACGTGTCGTGACATGCACACAGCTTGTGGAATTTCGGAACTGCGGATAAGTGTGTGCGAATGTGTATATGCCCACTTGCAACGAGAGCAGACTCTCAGAGCGCACAATGCACGTTATCATTAGCAAATCATTGACTCCCCAACAAGCGCTTTACACAAACATAAAACCGAATTAAAGTAGGTGACTGCTTGTCGGACCGTTACCAGTGTGTCAAATCAAAGCTACATTCCTACTGTATTCAACGCAATAATTTACGGCGAATTCGTGAATTCACGTCGAGAATAACACGCCGGATAGTCGTCCGCCATGCTATACGGTCACAAGATAACCGCCTGTCTTACGTGCTGAGCCGCCAATCGCTGCATTAATGATACCCTGCTACCTATACAGACTCAAATAAACAATCGCGGCAAGGTTTACTAACCGACACCGTCTGCCAAAAGACATGATACCTACAGTTGTATTTCTGGTCGTCGCTTCCTGGCTGGCACAGTGTCTCTCTCTCTCTTTCAATTTCTCTCTCACCCTCTCTCTCTCCTCTCGTGCGAAATGACCACACGGCCTCTGCACGTAATAATACCGGCTTCACTAGATAACAAGGACTGCAGGCAAATGAGCGATGCCTATATGCCTATCGCATCTCTTTAGACGTTCACACCCGAGTGGCCACCTGGAAATGCTACCTCACTGACCCAGTTTATCAACGCCGAGTAATACGCTACAAAACTTATCGTCGCAATTGCCGAATTATTCTTAACGGCAACACCCCTCGTCAAGAAACAGGTACGGGCGCGGTGGTTTGTTTCGCAGACAGGGCCCGGCTGTAAAACAATAGACCGTTGAAGAATAGAATGTTGACTTAGCAATGTCTTTGGCGATATCACGATCCGGATGTGTATTATCGATATCGATTACGACCCGCTGACCAGGGTAACGACGCCACGCTCGGCAGTTGTGGTTCAGGACGACGATACGCGACTGGCAAATGTGACGTTTATTGCTTCCAAGCGTCGTTGTCCTGTTTTAGTAAATAGTCACCAGACCGGTTCGTTCCGTTTCGTTTATCGAGTGTATACCTGTATAAGCGTGATAGTTATCTATGGATATAAAGATCACTAACCGTATCCCTACTCCTATACATAGTGAGATTATTTATAAAAATTTACGACTAATAAATTTTGAAAAAAAAATAAAAACAATATAAAAATATTAAAGATAAAGGTTCACCTAATATTCGTTTGCTCACTCATCACACTACATGAATTTCAAATTTTTACTTGTCCCTCCCGGCGTAATAAGTATCGGTGGTGGTTATATATTGCCCCCCAACTGCGTGTGCGCAGATTTGTCATTTGGACCATAGCGATGCTAAGTGATTGGTAAAAACATTTCAAAACCACTCATAGAACCTTCTTCGCGATCGGAGTGCAGTCAGCATCACTTAGCATGGACATGGTAGGTTTATGGCACTGACAGTTCGTAGGTTCATCCGAAATAAATATCTTATATCCACGTTACCGATGGCCGATACATGCACTTTGGGCGTTTGCTGGTATAAATAATGGCAACATATAGGTATTATCTGTCAAGGCAAAGACTTTGTGTCATCCGGCAACACAATGTGAATCAGAATAACATACCAGTGATTGACGACATGCTTTGCGCTCGATTTATCTATGGTAATAGCCCAGGCCTACACCCGACCCACGACTGACGACGGGGTACTGTATGACGACAGACACGGTACCAGCATCTCTAACGAACTTCCACAGCACCTGGTTGATGACTATCATAACTGTTGTATTGTAGTTGATGATATGGTTCGCATCGGCTGTGCGGCGCTACAGGCAATCTATCATATTGCTCAGCGCAGACTTCTAATATAACCTAACGTGCAAGTGGGTGTTATTCATGCCTCAGCATCTTGCGAGTGGAATGCGATTTTTTCTAGCGACGAAGGCCACTGATGTAATAGGAACGGTTTCAGACAATGTCAAGTACCCACTTGCAACCTGTCAGATACTTGGAAAAGTGGAATGTTCGAAAGTGCCTTTGAAGTGTCTTCCCTAATACAAACGCACGCAATGCTAGCGGATTTGCTTTGCAAACTGTTCTTCAGCCCTTTTGCTGCAGTGGTCATCTTACAGCGGCACATGCCATCACTGTTTGCTTTAGTTTAGAATATTGGGCACTGATTCCAGCACATACACACATACGCACACACACGCACGCACGCACGCACGCTCGCCCGCCCGCACGCTGCGTGCGTGCGTGCGTGCGTGCGTGCGTGCGTGCGTGCGTGCGTGCGTGCGTGCGTGCGTGCGTGCGTGCGTGCGTGCGTGCGTGCGTGCGTAATCACTCCCGCGTGAACAATAGAACGTCCGCGCGGCATGTATGTTATATATGTAGATATGCTGGCAACATCTGGCAAAAATAAATCTTCGTAATAATTATAACATGTGAATATTGCGAACAGCATTATGCGTAAAACACAGAGTTATTGCTGCACTGCTTCGTGCTTATAAAATGTATTGTTTTAATTTTTTATGGTATTATTCGGAACTAGAACGCACTAATCTGAATTGTACACGTAAGGTAGATGCCCTATATATAGACGCGTCCAGAAAGCAGGAAAAGTAAGAATGGTCTTGTCGATAAATTGTTGTTCTATTTTGTCAAGTGACCTGTAACCATGGTAACCGGTCCGCGTTAACTGTAACACGGGATATGACTAGTTGCTGGAACTCAACATCACGTATCTGGCGGCTCTCTAAGTTTCGAGTGAAATCTGGACTTTGAATCTATCGTCATTCAGCATGAATGAAATGTACGTCGTTTATGCGCCGAAACTCTCTAAGTATTTTTAATTAAATATTTTGTGTCATGTTTTTTCAGGCCTGCTGCCTATGGACGCTTTCTACTGTTGCAAAACACCGTAAGTAGCCTTAGGTAAGGAAAGCTGTTCTGTCAAAGAATTCGCGTAATTGTGTTTTATGTCAATCAAAACAGACATAATAATCATATGCAGTTCTTTTAGTATAGCCTTTATACATACACACATATTACATATACATATGCATGTTACATATATACATACACACATGTGTGTGTGGTGGGTGTGTGTGAGTGTGTGTGCGTGTGTGCGTGCGTCTCTCTCTCGCTCTCTCTTTCTCTCTCTCGCTCTCGCTTTTGCTCGGTAAGCAGCGAAAGCTCTCTATCTATCTCTCTCTCACAGCTGTGGCAGAGCGATACGTCTGCTGCTTACGTCACGGCGTGCGCATGCGCGAGAGGCTGCACGTTATCGTCTCTCTCTCTCTCTCTCTCTCTCAGAGAAGAGAGAGAGAGAGAGAGAGAGATAAAATTGACACTCTGCCTGCAGTGACACTATCGTGCATAAATTTCAATAGTATTATAGTCAGAGGCGTAAATCCCGGGGGAGAGATGGGGCCATTGGGGGGATGCTAGCTCTAGTACTATAGCCCGCGGATCGCTGCCGCAGGCTGCCGCAGGACCCGCCTGCGATCCCCCGCAGCGATCCGCGGGCTATAGTACTAGAGCTAGGGGGATGCATGATGCATCGATCCCCCCCCCCGCTCTTGAAGGAGGGGAGATGGCCTGGGCCTACAAATATCCCCTGAGATTTAAAAAAAAACAAAAAAAAACGAATAGCCAAAAAGTATGGTTGCAAACATACAAAAACACGTGAAATTGTGAGAAATTGCAATTCTTACATGTGTTATGTACTGTGTTATACATGTATTATTACTATAGTAACCTAACTGTGTACGCTCTAGCTCTGAAAAGTAATGAAAAGTGTTTTGAATCCTAACTTGTAGGGTTGAGTCTAGGGTTGAGATAGCTATAGTGCCATCAGACATGAGAATATGGTCCACAGTATGCCTCAGATTGCAGGAAAATGGCTTAAATATTTTAAAATTTTCTGGGGGCATGCCCCGGTCCCAGACCCCACTAGCACTGGCATGCCTACGGCAAACAGCCAATGTTAATTTCGCCCCCGGCTATCGCCGATCATCCCCCCCCCCCACACTCCTCGGTACGGATTTACGCCCCTGCTTATAGTCATATTGATATTGTCATCCTAGCATTTTTTTCACCGTGAAAATGAGTGTCTTCTGTACATGGATTTGTATCTGAATTACATGCAATAAAGATTTAATAATAATAATAATAACTAAAGCAGAAAAAGCAACCAGTGTGCTTACATTTATAAATTAGAATGTGTAGGTAGGATGTATGAATTTAAGGTGTAATGTGAAGTTTAATGTGTGGCGCGTCACTCATCGTAGCAAAACAACACTTGATTGATAATATTTGTTGATTGTAAAAATGTTTATTTAGCAATCCTACTGCATCATTCTCAGTAGAGCAATATATATTACCTTGATGTGATCGATTCATTGATTTCCTCGATGTGATAGAATTGCTCGGTGAGGATCTATTCGTCAATCGATCTTTTCGATGATGATGCGTTGAATTTCTGGACGTGCCCAGGACCCCTATATGTCAGTGTTTTTTGGTCGCTGCATGTCGCTTGGTAGTTAATCAGAGCTTGAACGGAACTCTCTGTCATTTTCTTTCTCTTTTTCTCTCCATCTGTCATTGTCTTTCTCTCTCTCTCTCGCTTTCTCTCTAGTTACATGATATCTATGGTTACCCAGCTAACACATAACGTTTTCCTAACGTTATGTTCTGGTTTTATTTTGGTTTGGTTTGAATTAAACCTTCTAAGAACGTTCATCAAACGTTATAAATAAAGTTATATATAGGTTCTTGACAAACGTTTGCCACAAACGTTGTGTCAACCACCATTTAACGTTTTGTTATAGTTGCGAAATGGTTTACTACAAACGTTAGCTATAAACGTTGCACTAACCATCATTTAACGTTTTTAAATAGTTTGTTAGGAACCGACATGTAACGTTACGATCAACGTTTACTGACGTTCATGGCTAACGTTTGTTCATAGTTACGACTAGGTTTATAAATAACGTTTATTTTTACCCCCTCGAAACCCTAGATAAACGTTCAGTACTGGTTAGTAATAGGTGTGCAGATAACGTTTGTTTCTAACCATTTGAGATAAATGTTACGTAGTGGGTTATAACAAGTTTTTGGCAAACGTTTTTTAGTTATGGTAAATCGTTTGTCAGGAACCTAAACATAGGCTTGGTTGTACATGCGTGCGTGTGTGCGTGCATGCTTACGTATGTGTGCGCGCCCGCGTAAATATGAATAAAATTTAGTTATGGTCCCTGCACACGCACGCATACTCCCACGGCCACACCCATATACATGCACACACACTTGCGCGCGCACACACGCACACACACATACACAAACACACACGCGCGCACGCACGCACGCACGCACGCACGCACGCACATACACACACACACACACACACATATATATATATATTTATATATATATATCTATATATATATATATAATCATATACTATTTTATTTATGCGTATATTTTGTATAGACCTTTCTGTGTGAGTGTGAATCTGATCACCACAAACTCGCGAATAATTCATGTAATTGTGAGTCATTCTTTGGCATGTAATTCCGACAAAACACTTGTCACTGTGCCGAAGAACTTCGTCCACACAGTCCGATGTTATGCTATGCTCGTGACCATCGTGTCGAGGCAGGCATGTAATGTCAGTCA